CCCCCAGCCAAACTCAATGGGTGGCCTGAAACAGGACTCAGAATCTGCATCTCTCCGTCTCATGTGAGATCAGCTGAGGTATTAGACCTGCACATGCTTTAAAATCTGGAAAGACCTGGGCCCCTCTGAGTGCTACAGATTATGGGTTCGAATCCTTGCTCCACCATGTTCTGGGCTGTGTGACTTCAGGCAAGTCACTGGACAACTCTGAGCTTAGAAGAGGACCTCCCTCAGGCCATGTTGTAAGGACAAGCCAGTTAGCCTGATGCTTAGAACAGCGTCTACAGCAAGTAGGTGAGAATATTCCACTGTGACCCTCACAGATCCTGGTCCCCACACCTAGCCCCTCTTCCACTGCCTGTTGATAAACCCCCATGGCCAAATGGTGGCTGAGAAACTGCATGATCAATCCCTGCCTCTTCCAAGCACCACAGCCAACCACCCATTTCTGAAAGTGCAGGAGCCCAGGGGAGCGCCTCCGGCCCAGGTCCCGCACCCGGCCCTCCTTCCCTGGACAGAAGTCTGCAGAGTCTCTTGTGCCTGGTGTTTCTCAATGCAGGCTGCACCGTGGGGCCGACTCTCCCCACAGCTTCCATGCTCCTGAATCTGCCCAGGGTCTGGGCACAGGTGGCATCCTGGGTGGTTCTGACAGAGGTAGCTCGAGCAGGGGCCATGATCAGCCGACTTGGGGCATATCAGAGAGGCTCCTGGAAGTGGGCATGTCCACATGGGGTCCTGAGGTGTGGGTAGGAGTCCGGGGTGGATTGTTTGGGTGCAGATGACCTCAGACCCGGGGATCAGCAGGCACCAAGCCTGAGTCAGTTGTGATCCCCACTCTCACCCCCCACACCTGGCTTCCAACCTGGAAGGGAAACCCAGAGTCCCAAGCTCACGCCACAATCTGTGCAGCACATGGACTCGCGGCTACCAGGTCTAGGATGACAATTAGAGACCATCCAGGCTGCCTGCCCAGTCAGCGGTGGGGCCACGGAGGCACCTGAGCCGAGGGGGCACCTGTGTCTCCCAGGTGGGGCACCACAGCCTTAAGGAGCCAGGACAACAGGGAGTCACGGCAGGCTAAGCAGGGTGTGACATGGCCAAGTGTGGCTCTTAGCAAGACCACCCTGGAAGGGCCCAGAGTGGCAAGAGTGGAGGGGCAGGTAGTGGGGACAGGAATGCCCGGGAAGAGGCTAAATAGGGACCCTGTGGCCACGTCCATCCCCAGATGCGCTGAGCTCAGACGGGCCTTCCTCTTTCCCAATCACAGCTATGGACTAGGGCGTTTTTTGCTTTCCTAAGTTGGCTGCCAGAACACAGATGGTGGAATTCTGCTAGTTTTCTGCCGTGGGCAGGATCTCTGAGGCAGCGCTGTGTTTGCCGTGGGCCAAAAGCTCTGCAGCCCCAAGCAGCTCAGTGAATCTGGACTCTGTCGACCACCAGTTCCCTTCTTCACCTCCCGGAGCCTCGGTTTCCTCATCCTTAGAATGAGAAGCAAAGAACTGACCCTCGGGGTCGGGTGATGAGAGGCGCCCGGGGAGTGCCCGGAACAAGTGCCCTGAGCCCTTTACAGTGGGCCCCTTGGTCATCTGGGGTTTGGTTTGGGATTCTTTTGCCAGTCGGCTGGGACTCAGCAGGGAGAAAGGCAGAGGGGAGTATTCACCCCAGACTTAGACCTATAATTTTGGGGGGAAAATTGACGGTAATCTGCTTGGAATTGTGGGCGCTCAGAGTTACCTAGACGGGATCTGGGAGGTGGAGGAGGAGCAGAGATGGGGGGCGAAGGAGCGAAGGAGCGATCCAGCTCCACAGGAAGGAAACAGGACCGGCTGGAAGCCCTCCCCTGCCTCCTTGCTTCCATCCCCCAGATCTGCCTGAGGGCCTCCTGCTTCCCCAGCTGATGCCTGGTCCCCAGCTGGTGCCGGCCTTTCTCCTGCAATCCAACCCAGGGGACCTGTCTCTGCCTCACTGCTCCCACAGTTGCCAGCTGCCTCCTCCTGTCCCTTCTCCCCAAGGCCCGTGCTCTAATCCCCACTAGATGTGACACAAGGTGACTGTGGCCCGTCACTCCATCACCACTTGGTGTAGGGTGACACCTTTCTGGACTCCCCACCAGCTCAGGTCTCTCACCAGACCCGACGGGGACAGCTGGGCTCCCTGGGCTTGCCTGCCCAGAGACACCTGTCAGCCTTCCAGTCCCCACACCCTCAGCCCACAGCGCTCCCTGCCTGGGAAATAGGAATCGGGAAAAATAAGAACAAAGGAACCTAAGAGATTATGTGGCCCACAGGTGTCACCGGGTGCCACCTCTGATCAACAGGAGGTTGCCTCTGGAACGGCACTGCAGGATCGAAAGCTGCATCCAGGCTCTGCAGGAAGATCTGTGATCCATTAGCAATGTCTGCCACGAGTGGAGTTTTATGAATGTCAGGGATGGCCACCCACAGCCTGGTCTTCATTTTTATTATTATTTTTTCAGGGCACTGAAATAGATGTGTGTGTGTGTGTGTGTGTGTGTGTGTGTGTGTGCGCGCGCGCACGCGTACGTGCATGCAAGCCCGTACATGCACATACAGATAGATATAAAGCCATCAATCAAGTGAACCCTTCCCTAAGCACAGACCTGTGCAGGATGGGCTGAGGGTGCTGGACACAGAGTAGGAAACCCTGCTCCTGAGACATGCCCTTTATAACCCTTTTGCTTCAGCTCAGGCAGCAAACTTCCATTTGGTCTTCAACTTCCCCCTCTAGACTGAACTGAGACAACAGATTTCCATCAGGCAATGGATTTAAATACTATTTTGTTTTATTGTTTTTTACTTTTTTACAGTTAGCTTTTATTTACAATGAAACCCATTTTCTCCATTTACAGAAGCAGTTTTTCTTAAATAAATGAATTTGAACAAAAATAGTGAAATGATTTAAAGGAAAAAAAAATATGATGATGGCCGAGCGAGCTCCTGAAGAGAAAGAGACACACACGAACGGCCAGGACTTGAGAAACAGAACCTTCCCAAGGACTCTTCAAAGCTGTGGGGGCCAATGCTATTACCACTGTGGGGATGAGGAAACTGAACGCAGAGAGGTTTGTATTTTGCCCTGGAACACACAGCAGAGTGCCAACGGGGAGCTCAGGAGGGACCAGACCAGGACCTGCAGCCCAGGACACACAGCAATTTAAGGCAGAAGGTGAGAAACGACACCCGTGCGATTCAGCCCTTTCCACAGTGAAGATCCAAGACTCTCACAACCTCAGGGAAGGGGAGTTTATTTCGGCCTAAAGAAACAGAAATGGTCAAGAGCGCCCTGGGCAGTTAGAGTTTCTGTGTCAGGATGCGATGCCCTGAGCTCACGCGGTTCCACTCCTGGGAGGCTCATCCAGAAGCACCTGCTCCCAGAGGCCGCCCTCCCTCCCGGAATTCAGACTGAGAGGTCATCTGATTGGCTAGATAAGGCTACGTCTCCCTGATTGGACAGAGCTTCAGCCTATGGGTGGGCTTGTGGTCAGGCACCCAATCAGCTGCGAGCGGGACCCATAAGAAGCGCCAGCACGGGGCACCCAAGTCAGCGGGCTGCGGCCTGGCCTCTGCCCTGTGGAGGAGCGAGGCTGTGGTCACCCCGGTGTGACCAGTGCCCAGGGCAGAGGGCAGAGAGGCAGAGGAGTGGCAGGAGCACTGGGAAGGACGAGCCACTTGAGTGGGCAGGGAGGGCTGCGTCTCTTGCGGGGCGGGCTTGGCCTCTGTGCGGGATCCTGCCCTTCATCAGCTGGTCCAGGGAGCCCAGGGGGTGCGGGGTACGGTATCAAGTGCAGGGAAAAGACACTGAGGCCCCGCTTTCTCGAGGACAGCTCAGCGCGGAGCAGGCGGCCCCGCGCAGCGCCCCTTGGCCGCGCCAGGGTTTACTTTCCAGCAGGCCTCCCTGGTGAGTCCGTGAGGCCACCGTGGAAAGATCGGCAGCGGGCATTCTGCAGGGGCGCTTTGTCCATACTTGGGCCATATTTAGGATGCAGCCTGCAAGCATTCTGGGCTCAGGAGAAAGCCCCCCAAATAAGTAACAGGGCCTCTTTCTCCAGCCACCTCGTGCTCCTAAGAGTGGGTCCTTTCCGGTGGAATCTGGAGATTTGGGCACATTCAGGAATGCGGTGTTTCTCCCCAGGCAGAAGCAGAACTGGTACTGGCATTGAAGGATGCAGCGGAGGCCAGACCAGGTGCAGGAAATACCACCTGCAAAGTTTTGGGACACAAAGCAGCTCCAAGTGGCTCAGTAGGACCCTGGTGAGGGTCCAGATGGGAAAATCCTGATATGATGCTGGAGGGGCAAGTGCCAGGCCAAGAAATGGAGCTGGGCAATGGGGAGCCACGGCAGGTCTCGAGCAGGGGAGGGACCTGGCTACATTTGTATTGTGGATGGGCACTTGTCCTGTGGAGGATGGGTGGGAGGGGGCGGGGCTGGGCAGGAAGCCCATTCAAGAGGTTGGGTTGAAGACCCCTGGGAGCCCTGAGGACAGATGTCAGCGAATGTCTGTGGGATGGAGGAGAAGCGGTGCTTCAGAGGCTCCGCTCATGGAACTCCGTGAGTAAAGAGGAGGAGGGGAGGCTGACCCAGATCCTGGCTTGGACAGGGGGACCAGGGAGCAGCAATTGAGTATGTGGGGCTGGGTGGGGCCATCTGGATGGAGATGTCTAGGGGCAGCTGGACACTAAGCATCCTCAGCAGTGGACTGTCCTCAAGGACAGAACGGGCCCCTCTGCAGGCCTGGCGCAGTGGCTGGCTGGCCTTCCCCCACTGGCCTCAGTCTACACCAGGTGAGCTGGGTCCTGATCCTGGAGTTCTTGGAGGGACAGGTAGGCATCCGTGTTCAGGGCCAGGCCGGAGGTAGGGGCTCTGACCCAGCCTTGCCCTGGAGGGCTGGCCGGGCAGGAGTCGGCTCCTCCCCTGGGGCCAGGGGCAGGGTCCTCCCTCCCAGCCTCTCCCAGGACTAGCTCCAGGGAGGACTGAGAACCCACCAGGTTGGGGGCTGCCGGGACAAGAGGCCCTAGGGACGGGGTGCCCCAGTCTTGGGGGGCTCCCTCCTGCAGGGAGGAGGGCGGCCTCTCTGCGCTGGCCCCACGGCCCCCGGGGGCAGTGTTGGGGGAGCCTCCGAGGAGACCGGGCGAGAAGAGCAGCAGGTCATCCCCTGGGGGGAAGGTGCAGTAGGCATCCTCGTCCCCGTTCGAGGGCGGCAGGGGCGGCAGGGGCGACCCCGTGGGCACCCCAGGCCCGCCCTCTTCGGGCTCCTCCTCCGCGCAGGGGTCAAAGGTGAAGTACACCTGACAGGGCTCGATCTCCAGGGCGTCGGGAAGGTGGAAGAAGAAGTAGCCCTGGTTGGTGAAGCAGCTGGTCTGCGAGTGACCGCTGGGCGAGGGCGAGGGCGCCTTGTCCTGCTGCAGCAGGAGCAGCTGTGTGGCCTTGGCGTCCTTGTCCAGCACTTCCAGCGGCGAGATCTCGGCCGCGGGGCCGCCCGGGCTGAAGGAGGTGGAGGGCAGGGGCGAGCAGAGCCACTTCTGCAGGGAGAAGGCCCCGCCGGGGTGAGGCCGCGGTTGTCCCCGCGGGTCCCCAGGAGGCCCATCCCACCCCTGGGCTTGGCACAACCCTGGCTCACAAGGGCCCAGGGGACTTCGGGGTTCGGTGTGGGCACCTGCTTGTGTCCAGCTGCCACAGCCGGGGACAGAATCCCCAGAGTGCCCTGAGAGTTTGCGTGGACCAGGCCCCCAACTTAATGGCGGCAGGGCCCAAGGGCACATCCTGGGGGAGAAGCCGGTCCAGCCCCAGGGTTACCAGGCCACGGGGCCACGGGGCCACTACTGGCCGGCCGGCTGATTGGGCTTGTGCCTACGGGTGTGTGCATGAGGGTACACTTCCCCTCCCCACGCCAGTCCTGGGCCAAGGACACAGTCCAGATGGCCCAGGGTCCAGGCTGCCTGTCACAGGCCAGCTGGGGCAGAGCCGGGAGCCAGGAAACATCCCTGTGTTAATGGGGGGACAGCGGGCCCTCATTTTCTTCTCCCTCCCAGTGCCCCGCGGCCCCTCGCCCTCCCTGTTGAGAGCAAGTGCCCACCCACAGGTCCCAGCTGCTCAGGAGCCCACACAGTCCTGGCGTGGAGTGGAGAGACCCAGGTTCCAGCCCCGATCCTGGCACTTCCCCGCTGTGTGACCCCAGGCAGGCCACTACACCCCTCTGAGCCTGTTTTCACAGTGGTCAGCCACCTCCTTCTGACGCCTCACTGCCGTCTGTTGGGTCAGCGAGGAGATAGATGTCAGGTAAGAAAATGGAGCTGGCTCACGGAGCACAGTGTGGGCTGCAGAGGTCAGGGGACAGTTGACCCCTCAGGATGAGGCCCAGTGTGACCTGCCGCAGGGTGGATGAGTCAGAATCCAGCAGCCCTGGTCCTGGGAACCCTCAGCAGCGGGGACCGGGGGCTGCCCTGCCCCTGACAGGCCCGAGGGCCCAGCCCTCCTACTCAGGGGACGGAGCAGCAGAGAGCCTGGCTCTCCTGGGCCTTGGCTCCGCCTGCAGGCCTGCGGGACACCTAGGAGAAGCCCAGCCCCTGCACACGCCCACGTGCACACGCCCACAGCCACAAGCTGATCTGCACGCCCGGCCAGTAGTGGCCCTGTGGCCCATGGCCTGGTAACCCTGGGGCTGGGGCCTGGGGTAGACGGGGCAGGACCGGCTTCTTCCCCAGGAGCTGAGGGGAAGCCTGGCTAGCCCTGGGCCTCCTAGGGATGTCCCCTCCCCATGCCAGGCCTGGGCCAAGGACCTAGCCCCAGGGATGACCGCCTGGCCTCCCCCTCCAGGAAGGAGCTGACTCAGGGCACCCTAGGCCCTCGGAATCGGGGCTTTGGCTGGAAGAGGCACGGGGGTACGGGGACAGCGGCCCCC